TCACTAAGGTCTGTCTGTAATCATTTTGTGCCCTCAGGGATTATCTTGTAATTGACTCTCTTGTAAACCCTAATCTTCATTTTATAAATAGAGGGTGATATTCTATCACACCCTTAAGCTGGTTACTCATGAATACTCGAACTTCAAAGGCATCACTCAACATACAATAGGGGGTAAGCAAATCTATTTTTCCTAGAATAATTGGTGCAAAATATTCTAGAGATGCTTGGGAAATCGTAAAACAAGAATTCTAAGGTTCTGAAAAAGTTGTCTCCATTAAACTTTAGTGTTTGTAGCGTGATTTTGATAATCTAGCCACAAAAGAAAATGAGACCGTCCAATCTTTTTCCACAAGAGTTGCAAAAATAATAAATCAAATCAAAAGTTGTGGAGATGCTATTGAAGAGAGAAAATTTATTGAAAAAATATTGAGAAGTTTGCCACAAAAATTTAAACACATTGTTGCTGCAATTGAGGAGTCAAAAGACCTATCTAAACTCTTTTTTCATGAGCTTATGGGTTCTCTTGAAGCCCATGAAAAAAGAATGGCCAGATTCACTAGACCAAGTGTAGGAGCAAATATTGAGCAAGCCTTCCAATCGAAGCTCAATATCACAGAAAGAAGACTTCTAGAAAATAAAGGTCATGGCATAGCTCAACCACAACAACAAAGAACGGGGCTCTAGAATTTTGGTAACCATAGCCGAGGAAAAGGGTGAAGAAATTTCCATCAAGAATCAAATCGAGTTGGTAACACAAAATTTGGCTCTATCTGTCATGTGTATGGTAAATCTAATCATCAATCTAAGGATTGTAATTTTAGATGCACCGAGTGCAAAATTTGTAATCATTCACAAAAGGACTGCTGGTGTCAGAAAAAAGATGAAAAAAGTGAAGCAAATTTTTCTGAAGAAAATGACCCAGCTCAATTGTGGCTTATGAAAATGGAGAAAAGTTCATCTTCATCGGCTATCGCGGCGTGTCAAAAGGTTTTCGACTTTTTGATCCAAAAACCAACAAATTGGTGACTTCAAGGGACATGCATTTTGATGAAATGAAAGCATGGGGCGGGGAAAATTCTCATGAGGCTGAAAAATTCATACAACTAGATCAATGCAAGCCAAGTTTTCCAATTTAGATTCACCAGTTCCACACCAAAGTCATTTTGAAGATAGTGATTCAGAATTGCCTATTAGAAAAGTACGACCATTAAGAGAAATTTATGATTCATGCAATTTTGCATTTTTCTTTTGTGAGCCACAGAATTTTGAAGAAGTAGCAAAAAATAAAGTTTGGCAAAAAGCAATGGATGAAGAGATGTCCACAATTTTCAAAAATCGCACTTGGGAGCTAGTAGATTATCCTAAACAAAAAAATGCGGACGAGCTAAAATAGATCTACAAAACCAAATTGAATGAAGATAATTCGGTTCAAAAGTACAAAGCTCGTTTTGTTGCAAAAGGCTACTCACAACAACTTGGAGTATATTTCAATGAGACCTTTGCACCAGTTGTCTAAATAGAGACAATCAGAACAATCTTAGCCACGGCAGCACAGTTGGAATTGCTAGTCCACCAGTTTGAAGTAAAATCAACATTTTTGAATGGCGATCTAGAAGAAGTATATGTGGAGAAACCACAAGGCTATGTGGTGGAAGGAAAAGAAGATACGGTCTATCAGCTAAGAAAAGCGCTTTATGGCCTAAATCAGGCCTTGCGTGCTTGGAATAGTAGGATAGACAAATACTTCATCCTTAGCGGTTTTAAAAGAAGTCCTAGCGAGTCATCATTGTATGAGAAAAAGGGAGGTACCAATGATTTTCTCATCGTCTGCCTTTATGTTGATGATTTAATTTTCACTGGCACTAATCCTGTGATGCTAGATGATTTCAGAAAGGCTATATGATGAAAGAATATGAGGTGACAGATCTTGGCCTAATGAAATACTTTCTTGGCATCCAAGTGTGGTAGACAAAAGGAGAAATTTTCATTTCTCAAGAAAAATACACAGAAGACTGCTGAAAAGATTCAAGATGTCAACATGCAAACCAATTTCAACACCTATGGGGACAAATGAAAAATTGCAGCTAGAAGATGGAGCGCTAAAAGTGAACCCAACATTGTACCGCAACTAGGTTGGATCACTCATGTTATGTATGTCACAAAGACCAGGCCTAATATCTTATATCAAGTCAGCATGATTTCCAGATTCATGACTAAACCCAGTCAAATCCATTTTTCCGCAGCTAAGCGAATACTACGGTATTTGCAAGGCACAAAAAATTTTGGGATCAAGTATGTGAAGGAAGAAGGCAATAGTCTTGCTGGATACATTGACAGTGATTGGGTAGGTTCCATTGACGATAGAAAAAGCACATCTGGATATGTGTTTTGCATGGGTTCAAAAGCAATCTCTTGGTCCTCCAAAAAGTAAAAAACGGTGTCACTCTCATCAGCTGAAGTAGAATGCATTGCCGCCACCGATGTCGCTTGTGAAGCTGTGTGGCTTGGAAGAATTCTTGGAGATCTACAGCAAAAGCAACTAGACCCCACAACAATTTACTGCCACATGTCTACCATTGCCATGACAAAAAATTCAATTTTTTTCATGCTCAAACTAAGCACATTGAACTTTGTCATCACTTCATCTGAAATTTGGTTGACAGAGAAGAAATTCAGTTGGAGTTCATCAATATTAAAGAACAACTTGCAGACATTTTTACCAAGGCAGTATTGTCACCAAAATTGGAGCAGTTCAAATTTTCAAAATATTTTTTCGTATCACAAATTAAGAGGGAGTGTTAAAAATAATTATATAATTTGTAATATAAGTTTTTATTTTGGGTGAATTTGTAAGTAAGTCTGCAAGTGGTCATGTAACTTGCTATCTATGTTACACGGACTTGGATACGAGTATCGGGTGCGGGTGCGTATCTAGGGGTTGGACACTTCAAAATTAAAAGTTGAGGATATGTGGATATGGATCCAAATTTGGATACGGGTACGGGGATACCTTAAGTATTTTTTTTTAAAAAAAATATTTATATGAAGATGAATTAAAAAAAAAAAAACTAAGGAATAACAGATTTTGTTAAAAAAATAACAAATAAAATATATATAATAAATAAAGATTATATAAATTATTTTAGGTATGAGATAAATTATATTATATATGATAAAATAAGTTATTTTTAATTTAGATATAAAAATCATATTATTTATGATATATTATATTATTCAATTTTTTATGAGTGAATATATTATATAATATGAATAATATTATATATTATTATATTATTGTAATTCATATTATGTAATATAAATGTAATTAAAAGATAAGAAAAGAGAACAGAAAGATGAAAGAGAGAATTCAAAGATGAGAACAGAGAGAAGAGGAGACACAAAAAGAAGAAGAGAGAGAGAGAGAGAGAGAGAAGACAGAGATGGGAGATCGAGCGAAAGTTCTTTCTTGCTCTCGTCTCTCGATCGAGCAAAGTCGGCGACCAATGTCTTCTCTCTCGCTTCGCGAAGTCGGCGACCAATGTCTTCTCTCTTGTCCAGCGACCAGAGGATCGAAGTCGTCTTGCCCTTTCGAACAGTGACTAGGTTCGTTCTTTCTCTTTCCTCATTTCTTTTACCGCCGTTTGTAAAGAACCGTGTCCGAGAGAGAAAAGGAGAATCCGACACAGATCCCACACCTGCACCCGTGTCGTGTCGTGTCGACACGGGTACTTCACCCCATAGTGCCGAGTCCATGTAACATAGCTTGCTATATATAGGTTCATGTATTTGATTGAGTGGCTGAAAGTGGACCAAGATGTATCTTGTTCCTATTGGTTCAAAGAGTGGCAGTAATGCCAATATAAAGGCTTGCTTGCCTCATTTGTAAAACAAACCATCAAGCAACAATGCAATATACAAACAGAGCATTGCTCTCTCTCTCTGCCTCTCTCGGCTCTCTCTTTCAATTTCTCTCTCTGGGTTTTTGGTCCCACGAAAATTCATGTATATACTTTGCACCCAACAGTGTCAACTTAAAGAATAAAGTTTAGGTCACAAATTCGCAATGTATACTTAAGAGAAAACCTTAGTGAACAAGGAAACCAAATAAACAAGGAATTCAGTCTCCAACACACAAATTGAGACGAGAATACACTAATGCTTACTAATGAAAGTCTCCCGTGTAATAGTCCAAAACTAAATTGCCTTTGGTTAAGAACAAAAACTAAACTCAACCCAATAACCTAACCATGATAAAATCTACATATTATGCTAATGCAATGCATGATTTTACCTTTCATCACAAAGTTTGCATAGAACTCAAAAACTAGACTTTAGTTTCAGAGCTCCATGCTGAACTTTCAAGTACTTATTTATGATGCTCGTGAACTCAAAACTAAAAAAATGTAACATGTAAACAATTTTATAAAATTGCCACCACAACAAAAATGAGCAAGGGGTACAACTCATTTTTCTTAACAATAATGTTTGACATGGTAACCAAATACAATATTTAGGATTTTATGAATGCAATTGAAAGTATAGGGACTAAAGTGGAATTCGGGTGAAACTACAATGATAAATTATATAATTTACCCCTGTATAGAATAATACATTTTGAATTTTAGAAGTAGATTCATTGGAAGTTAAGACTTGCAATGTGTTGAGTTGGGTTATATATTCACCAAAATTGAATATCACAAATATTTGTGAAGTAACCCAACAAAGCATTTGTTGCATGGACGTGTTAGACAGTGCTCCACTTGAACTATGTGATAAATGTTTGGGTTCCATTCATCAACAGCATTTCTCTTCACCCTATTGGAATGCTTGCTTATTTATTCAATTTGCTCTTTTTAATGTGTGGATTTATTTATTTATTTATTTATTATTATTATTTTGATTGAGCTAGCACAGCTATTGGATGAGGAACGGCATGTTTCGCTGCATCTATTGCCATCATGTCTAACTTTCTAATGGATGTGCTTCTTCCATTGGCAGTTTGCAGTGACCAAGGAGTTCCAGCTTCATTTAAGGTCCCTAGGGGAGCGGTAATACCTTTTGGATCTATGGAACTGGCATTAGAACAAAGCAAGTCCATGGAGTCCTTCAAATCTTTTGTGGAACAGATAGAAACAGCCCAAATGGAAGGTGGAGAACTCGACAATCTCTGTAATCAACTCCAAGTACTTATCTCTTCCCTACAGCTTCCAAAAGACATCATTGACAGCTTGGGGAAAATATTTCCACCCAATTCACGTTTAATTGTCCGTTCAAGTGCCAATGTTGAGGACTTAGCTGGCATGTCAGCTGCTGGCCTCTATGAATCAATTCCTAATGTAAGCCTTTCAAATCCGATTGTTTTTGGAAACGCTGTTTGTCGAGTGTGGGCTTCGCTTTACACTCGTAGAGCAGTTTTAAGTCGTAGAGCTGCTAATGTACCTCAGAAGGAGGCTGCAATGGCTGTACTGGTCCAAGAATTGCTTTCGCCGGATCTATCCTTTGTGCTTCACACGCTCAGCCCGACAGACCACGATCATAATTCAGTGGAGGCGGAGATTGCTTCTGGACTTGGCGAGACTCTAGCTTCAGGCACACGAGGCACTCCTTGGCGTCTATCTTCTGGAAAGTTTGATGGGTTAGTGTGCACGTTGGCTTTTGCAAATTTCAGCGAGGAATTGCTGGTGCGTGGCGCAGGTCCAGCTGATGGGGAAGTGATCCATTTAACTGTTGACTATAGCAAGAAACCCCTGACCACGGACCCAATTTTCCGGTGTCTGCTTGGTCAGCGTCTTTGTGCTGTAGGGTTTTTGCTTGAGCGCAAATTTGGATGCCCTCAGGATGTCGAAGGATGCGTGGTTGGTAAAGACATTTTCATTGTCCAGACACGCCCGCAACCTCAATAAAAGGCTTCTTCCCATAACTTTTAACAATGTATGTATATCTACATTGTCAAAGGATGCGCTGTTGGTAAAGACATTTTCATTGTCCAGATATGCCTGCAACCTTAAATAAGGCTTCTTCTCAGAACTTTAACCATGTTTGTATATTTACGTTGTTGCTATCAATAAGCATTATCTACATGTAAGAATCTACCTAAGAATGTGAATTGTTGTGAAGCATCTCATGTCAACTTATCATAGAAAGTACAAGAACATGATTTGGACAATGTTTATAAATCCCAAGTTGTCATGTTTAATTGTTTCATTTCATTTAATCATGTATATTGTAAAAGGCACTGTGTTTCAAAATTCGGTTTCTATTTACAAATTAAGGGCTAAAATTTTCAAATTGAGGGGGCTCCAAAATGAAAAAAAATGAAACTTTCTTTGTCTTAAAATGAGAAAATTTTTACGTCAACAGAAAATTCTATGTGCTTTTTGAAATTTCACCCCAATAATATTACACACCATCTAATATTTACATATGAGAAGAACATAATAATAAACACATAAGAATTGTGAAAAACAACTTTATAACACTACAAAATAATTATTGGCTTGGAGAGAGCCGAGAAAGCCAAGCCATCGTCGGAAAATATCATATTAAGGTCAAGCAAGGATCCTCTAGAGTTTTTTTTTCCTAAAATTTCCTAGAGTGGTGCATTGTGTGGTTGAGATTTAATGACAAATCACATCAATTTTTCAACATTAAATCTCAACCACACAATACACCACTTTAGGAAAAAAACACTCTAGAGGATCCTTGGTGATTAAGGTCTCGTTTGAAAACAGGCTATTTTAGTAACTTTTTGATTTTTTGGTTAAAATATGAGGTAAAAAAAATTAGTATGTTTGGGGTGATTTTTGACTTTTTACGAAAAGATGTGCAAAAAATAGAGAGAAAATGGAATCTTTGATTATTTGGTATAAGTTATAGGTTTTTTGACTTTTTTAGTAACTTTTTGACTAAAATGTTAATCGAAAATGATCTAGAGCTCGAAACTCTACGGCTCGAAATTTTTTTTCCCTTTTCAAGCAAAGGAGCTCTGCACAAACAGAGGGAAGAGGAGAGGAGAAAGAGGGAGAGAAGAGAGGAAGAAGAGAGGAGAAGAGAGAGGAGGAGGCAGCACCACCGCTGTCGCAGTCGTCTCGCCGCCGTCGTCGCAGCACCACCTCCTCACCTCCTCGCCGATCGTCGCACCACCGCCTCGCTGATCGTCGCAGTCGCAGTCGCAACCCTCTCCTGTCCAGTTCGTCGCAGCAGCTAGCCCGGCGCAGCCCCGCCTCCTCCTCCAGCCCGATTTTTATGGCCCCCTCCCCTCCCTCCTTCCTCCTCCTCCCGATCTTCTTCTCCACCCTTCTTCTTCTCCCTTCTTTTTCTTCTTCCTTTTCTTCTTCTTGTCCGTTCTCCTTCTCTGCAAACAACACAGGAAAAAAAAAAAAAAAAAAAAAAACGTGTCGAGCCAAATTCGTGCCAAAGAATTTCGAGCTACGTAGCGGGGTCGAATGTTAATTTGCCAAACGAAGCCTAAGATTATTGATGGAGAAATATAACATTGTAAAGAGAGACGTTACAATCGAGTTATGATCGAAGAAGATGATTCAGTATAGATGGTGGAGTCAAAACTGAAAGATGAGATGCCAAATTCTTAAATAAAGTTAATGACACAATTTTAAATGTAGAAATTGTTGAGAACATAGTCATTTTAGATGTAGAAATTATTGAGAATAGTGTCGTCTTCGAAGAGTCAAAGAAATCAAAATTGACATTCTTTGTCGATCTAGGGTTACCTCCATTGATGTTGACAATGAAGGCATCCATTTAACCAAATGCAATATTTTTTTTAATATGTAAGGGACAAATTAGTCTCAAAATTTTTAAAAAAAAAATCTCAACTTTGACATATGTTTTGTTTGGACTCCAACTAATACTGCTTTAGACTTTTTATGACCTTTTTGCTTGAGCGCAAATTTGGATGCCCTCAGGATGTCGAAGGATGTGTGGTTGGTAAAGACATTTTCATTGTCCAGACACGCCCGCAACCTCAATAAAAGGCTTCTTCCCATAACTTTTAACAATGTATGTATATCTACATTGTCAAAGGATGCGCTGTTGGTAAAGACATTTTCATTGTCCAGATATGCCTGCAACCTTAAATAAGGCTTCTTCTCAGAACTTTAACCATGTTTGTATATTTACGTTGTTGCTATCAATAAGCATTATCTACATGTAAGAATCTACCTAAGAATGTGAATTGTTGTGAAGCATCTCATGTCAACTTATCATAGAAAGTACAAGAACATGATTTGGACAATGTTTAATCTATCAACATAATTTTTTTATAAATATGTTATACTTGACGTTCCTTAAAAATTGAACAACTTGCATAACTAAAATAAGTTACAAAAAATGAGTCTCACAAATCGAACAACAGGCACTATCGTACTACATAATGCACAATAATAACCCCAAATCCCTATAATTGTCACAAGCCAAAATTGCATTGGTCAAATATGTTAAAAATGGAAAATTATTTGGTGCCTATGGCCACTATTTGGCCATGCCATTACCAATCACCAATTGTCAAGCTCCCTTACTATTTTCCAGTCCCCAATATAAATTAGGAACAATTATTAATAAGTTCTATTTTATTTTTAAGATTAATATTAAATATTATCAAATTTCAATATGAACAAGTAAATCTTATTTTTCATAAAATGTTGTAAAAAAATTCATTACTTTCATAACGATGTATGTTATTCCAATTTTATTCCTAATTTAATATGAAATTTTTTTATAAATCTTTTTAATAAGTAAAATTATACTATTTAATATAAAAAATTATGATATCTATACTATTATATTAAGTGCATGCCAAATTTGGGGTCCAAGCCTTTACTTCATTCTCCTTATATCACGTGTCTCATTTTTATATGAACAACTATCTCATTATCTAACCCCCCTCCTCCCCCCCAAAAAAAAAATCCACCCCAAAAAAACCCTTAATCTTATTTTTTTTATATTATAAAATGTCATAATGTTGTCAACATATATTTATTTATTATTTATTTTTAATTTTATTTAAATTGCATACATATTGCGTGTTTCATCCTTTAATTGTATTAAAAAACACCAAAAATAAAATAAAATAATGGATAAATTACAGTAACACTCCTTGAGATTTACATTTTATATAGATTCTCATTCATGTTTTAAAAATTAGGGCAAATTACATTAATAGTCCTTATAGTTTGAGATTTGTGTCACTTTAGTCACTGACTTTTCAATTGTGACACATTTGATTTTGAATTTTGAATCTTGTTCCAAATAAGGATAATTGAACATACCATTGCTTAATTTCAAGGGCAAAATCATCAATTTGATAAAATATAAACTAATTTGATAAAAATAAATGTCAAAAAAATATTTTAAATTTTAAAAAAATTATTTCTACTCACCCAAAATAAAATTATGTAAAATTGATAAAAATTAATAAAAATTACATGATTAATTTTTAAAAATGAATTTTACATGATAATCATCCAAATACATAATAAAAATTAGTTTGGTAAAAAAAAAAAAATGTCTAAAAGATTTATCAATTTTATATAATTTTATCTTTAATAGCTAGAAATAATTTTTTGACATTTATTTTTGTCAAATTAATTTATTTTTTATCAAATTGACGATTTTACCCTTGAAAAATCTAATGGTATTTACAATTGTCCTTATTTGGAACAAGATTTAAAATTCAGGGTCAAATGTGTCACAATTAAAAAGTCGGAAACCAAAATGACACAAGCCCAAACTATAAGGACCATTAGTGTAATTTACCCTAAAAATTAATTGACACCCCTGTCAAAGTTTGGGAAAATTCTATTTCCACACACCAAATTATCTTTGTGTACATCTTTTCTCAATCCACACATTTAGTAATTTGATTTTTACTTATTTATTTCAATCCACACACTTCACATTCCAAATATACCGTCACCTTCTCTGTGCACATCATCTCCTTTTATCCTTTTTCACTCGAAAAACCTTAACCCTAACTACACTAGCTACCGGCGATGGCGGCAACGATGACATAAACCACCGCTCATTCCCAGCCTCTCAGCCAATCTCACACAACCCCTTACGTTGCCATCACCTCCATCGCGATCATCACCAGTCGCCGTCACCTCTGTGATCCACATTCACCTCTGTCTAATTTTTGTCTTTCTTCTAATTAAGTCAATTCTTTTCACCTTTGGATGTTAGATGGCATTTGTGGTTAAAACTACTGATAGATCCATGTACGACCCTTCAGGCACAAATCTTGAATGGGAACAAAAATAGGATGAATCAAGTGTGTTGATTAACAGGATTTCAAGCTCAGAATATGAGGCTAATTGATGACTTATATATATATATTCTTCTTTTGCTTGTACATGTAAAATGTGATCGGTAATAAAGTCTGATGATATGCTGATATAACATCATGATTAAATACTATTTCACAATGCTCGTAACTGAACAAAATTAAATTGGGAAGATTGTAAATTAATAAGTAAATAAAATATATTACACACTGATTGAGTTTAATTTTTGTTTTGTTTTGTTGTCTGACGAGATTGCAGAGTTCTAGGAAGCATAGCAACTGACAGGAAGTTAACAAATACGATAATACTTTCTGGTTAAGAAGAATCTAACTACAGTCACTATAGTTATATTGGGATTGACAAAATGGGAAGGTTAGGGACTGAAAGGAGTGAGAAAAGTGAAAAGAAATGCCGTATGGTTGAGGTTTGGGCATGAGAGGCGATGGGCGGCGGTGAAGTGGCTGGTGAGATGGTGGTGAGTGAGATGTGTATGGAGAAATTGTGAGATATGTGGGTGAGATGGTGGTGGGTGAGGTGGTAATTTTGTTAAAGGATAAGCTTGCTTGGTTCCATTTTTCTAAAAACACTTTTCAGAAAATTCTACTTTCTTATTTTTCGTGTTTTTTAATTTTTACTGAATTTTTTAATATTTTAAGTAATTTTTTTACTTTTTAGACACACCTAACATAAATACATCTAAAAAGTAAAAAAATTGTAAAAAAAATCTTTTAAAAATTCACTACATACCAAAAATACAAAAAAAATATAAGAATTCAGTACATTTTTTTGTATTTCTATGTATTTATTAATTTTTAAAAATATTTTTTTACAAATTTTTTACTTTTTAGATATATCTAAGTAAGGTGCATTTAAAAAAGTAAAAAAAAATGTTTAAAATTTTAA